CAAGCCAAGGGGAGAGGCCTCAGAAGAAACCAACCCTGATGCTACCTTGATCTTGGACTTCTAGCTTCCAGAAGTGTAAGAAAATAAATTTCTGTTGTTTAAGAAAAAAAAACCACAACTGTTAAAAAACAGCAAAAAATCCACTTCTCACATGCATCTGCCTTTTGCATAAGAAAGTTAATTCAAGATATATCTTAAGGCAAAATAGCATAGAAAGTATACAGGTACAAGCCAAGAGTGTGTGCGTGCTCTCTCTCTCTCTCTCTCTCCTCGCCCCCAGAGAGTGCTGCTTTAGCCACCGAGCCATAAAGCCTGGGCTACCCTCCCAAGTCTCAGGCCTTTGCTTGTCTATGGCCTCCCTAAAATCCCTTCAGTGTTTTTCCAGCTACCACGCACCTTTTAACTAGCTCCATACCCCCACCCCAGCCCAGCCAAGTCCTTGAACTGCTATTATTACGATCAACTCCACTTCTGGGAACCTAGCCCAAGGCAATGCCCTGACACCAGACAATGCCTGATGGATGAAGAGGAGAGTGAATTCAATGTTCACTTTAAACAACTGGCTCGAAAATATGGTTTATCCACACTATGGACTACTAGGCTGCCTTTTAAAGTTATATTAAAGAGAAAAAAGAAATCTTCCATACATTGTTGTGGAACAACACCAAACAGTATTTATCATATATTCGCATTCTCAATGGTACATAAATATTATTGAATTGAGATTGGATCTGATTTCAGTTTTCTTCCGTGATTTTCTGTATTTTCTCAACTTTTCTATAAAGAATGAGAACAGCCTTTGTATTATGGGGAAAACCCCATAAAAAGAGTATTTTAAATTCCTCATGTTTATTTAGAAGTTTATCATTCCCAGGGATGATACACAGAACTGGAAGTCAGAAAATTCTGGTTCCAGCCCTGACTTTGCCCTAAAGAGCCGTGTGACCTTGGCAAGACCCTTCTCCTCCCTGGGCCTCAGTTTACTCATCTCTAAAATGGGAAAAATAACATCAACTTCAAGGACATGTGCAAGGCTCAGATGAAAGTGACTCTGAAAACAGAAAGAGCTTAATAAGGAGTTCCTATGGTGGGAGAGAGGTGGATTAGAAACGATAAAGGAGGAGGAGGGGAGGAATCAGGGATAGAGATCACCCTGCAGCGAGGCTGGGACAGAGGCAAGGACAGGCCTGGGAGAGAGAGGAGGAAGGGGAGACACAGGCAGGAACAACCTTCTCCCAAGCCCAGCACTCAGCCTGGGTGCCCTCCCTGCCTCCAGCCAGTTGCGAAAGACACAGGCAGTTTGGACTTCAAAAGGTTATGGGAGATGGAGGGAGCGAGCAGCCAGACCCTAACACAAATAAGTGTGCACTCTCGCCCCACCCCACCCATCAAGCCAGCCAGCAGGTCATATCTGCACCCTTGCCCCAGCATGGCTGTCCACTTAGAATTCTTTGAGTCAGAAAGACCCTTCCACATGAAGTAAAATGCACTGTCCCTCCTGATCTCCTCTCCCAGCCCCCAGCCACCACCCCCACCACCTCGCATCCATCTCAGAAAAGAATCCAGATGTGGCTTGAAGGCTACCCACCTCAGAACCTGCTAAGCCAAGAACAAGCCACAGGCCCTGGGGACTCAAGAGTCCAAAAGACAAAAGGCCCTTCTTCCTAGCAGGAAGCAAGGCAGATGCTTGGGAAAGGGCGAGGCTGCTCCGAGCTCCACATAGCCAAGCATGAGGCCAGCAACCCCAGCAGGACAGGGATCTAGCTGGGGACCAAGGCAGGAATCCTAACCTCCCTGAGCCTCAGTCTCCTCCTCTGACCGTGGGGATAACAAACTTACTTTACAGATGTCCTGAAGATGACAAAGGTAGGGAGGCAGCTCATGGGGCTGGTTCTCTTACCACCCCCTCCTACCATGAAGTTTCAAAGGGCATGGGACACGGGGAAGGTTGAGGCCTCAGGGCTGGGCACGGGGAAGCCTTGCCCTTTTCCCAGCACCATCCCCAGGCCTGGAAGAAATAAAATAAGAAGGTGGACAGGAGTCTGGGCTGGAGAATGGACCATCTGGGGAGAGGGCAGCATAGTAGGGCTGTCTGGGCCCCTCCACCTCCCTCTCCCGCCGGCCCCCACCCTCCGCCAGGCTTACCTGTAAATGGGGCCATACTTCTGGAAATTCTGGATGTGGTGATAGTGGACTTTGTGTGTGCCCTTCTTCCTCCAGAAATGGTACAGGTTTAGCCAGCCATTGTCACTAGGGGAAGGGATCTCACTGAAGGGGCGAGGGCTGTAAGTAGAGATGCCGGCTCCATCGCCAGCGGGCACCTTGGGATGTCCCGGGCTCTCCCGGGGATTGCTCAGGAGGGGCTGGCAGCCTTTGACCAGGACTGAGCGCAAAGGAAGGCCCCTGGCCATCATGCTGTCCCCACAACTGCCACTGTGCCTCCTCCACTGCTACAGGGCCTGCCGGGGTGACTCTGGCCCTGGGCCCCCAGGGCCAAGCTTATAACCACCAGCTCAAGGCTAAGTGAGAAGCTGATGAAGCATTCACCCTCCCTCCTCCTCCTGATGGCTTGTGCCCCACACAGCGCCTCCCAGACTCAGAGTACAGAGGCTCATTCTGGGATTTCTGCAGCCAGAGAGGCTCCCCAAAGCACAGGAGGACCCTACTGTCTCAGCACCAGCACTAGCTGGCCCCTGGGATGCCTGTCTGCACCTTTGCTGTGCTGGGGCCTCCTGCTGGCCCCTGCAGTGGGGTCCTGGGGTAGACCCCAGGCAAACATCATTGGGATGCACAGACAGCCTGGCACGGGGGTTCATGAGGGCCCAAGAGGAGGATGAGCCATGTTGCTAGCTTTGGGGCAGCATCCATCTCTGTATATATATGTGATTATAAACTTTTTGTATAGTTCTCTGATTTTTAAAGTTCTACTTTTTCCTGATTGCAAGGGGGGAAAAA